CAAATCTTAATCAACATTATCCATATAAAAATGTTCACAACTTTTTATTGAGACATCAGTCCATTGAACAAAAATCCAAAGAAGGAAACTCTGGCCACAATTAAACCAAAAAAAACATAGACTCTGCTTGAGCAACACACGAAAACACGATCTTGATTTTCAATTTATGGATGCCTTGCAGGTGCAGGCAGCGGCTGCAGTCCCAAAAAATAAAGATTTGCTCAGACTCCTTAATCACTGTGTGGCTTGACAGTTTCCCCTATGGCATGGAATGACAATTATTTATTGGACAGTTTAACAAGGCGATTAATTAGCCACCTTTTCGCGTTTTGCCAGAGTTTTCCAACCGAACGTATGACGGGTTAGAGCTAGTTAGTAGCGCTATAAGAAACCGCTTAAACGCTGAGCCACTGAACCGCTTCGCACGCGCCTTGTCGGACCAATGAAACCGAAACCGGCAGCCAGGCGACTCCAAAGCCGCAAAAACACCACAGAAATCCGACCGAGAAACTGCTGTTGCTGTTGCAACGACGACAGCGCATCGGGTTTTGGGCCGATGTGGTTTTTCATCAGGTTTCGGCGTGGAACCACCCTCGTAGAATTTTCCATTTCCATATTTCCTCGGCACTGTTGCTGCCTCTGCTGTTTAGCTGTAATCATCCTCATGCCCATCCTCCTACTAACTCCCGAGTGATAGTGGACATGAACATGAGATAATCATGTGTGCTGCAGTTGCCCTCGCGATGATTTCATTTGGATTCCCATATCAGGGTGTGTGTGGGAGAGCTACCTTTGGAAATATGATCTCGTGTCAAGCACTTTCCTTGACGTGCGAGTGCCAGTGCAGCAGCTTCTTTGAACGGAGGGAGCTTCTGCAAATATTTGCCCACAATTGGGAAAGGGTTTCTTCGTTCGCTCTTATCGCGATGATGGGTCCCTCACCCCTCATTTGTGGGAACTGTTGGTTGAGAGCAAATATTTCAGTCTCAAAGAATTTTCAATGGCTGAATTGTAATTAAGATTATGTTGTTTGCATAGATCATAGATTGGCTATAGCTCTGAGAAGAGAATAGAGTTTTTTTCTTTATTTAAAAGTATTTTCATATATTACTTTCTTAGAGCTCGCTTGGGGATGTAGAAGATTCTTGAATGTCTGGAAGTTAAAATTCTGTGATGGTTTTATTTGCCTTTTTTTTAATTTTCTTCCACCCGCTTTGTTTCTTCGTCTTGCATTCGAGTGCGAGCCAGATATTGAATATTTCGCTCATCCGAAAGTGCTGATTGGTGCTATGGACAAAGAATGTCCACATTATCACTCGGTCAAATTAAAAAATGAGTCAGATCTACGCGCAGAAGTTATTTCAAATTGAATTTCAAAGTTGTCTCATTCTACAGCAAACCCCAACAGTTGTAGGATAATCGCTTGTTTCCATGAATTGGAAAATATTTGTTTCCAAGATGTAATTCGCCTAAAAGAGATTTTTTACAAATTGTATTCTCACAAAGTATGCCTCGAGAGAGACTTCGATTTGATTTAATTTAGAAAAAAGCTGTCAATTTGTTCTTCATGTACAGGTACGAAAATATGAACCGAGAGATCTGGAATATTAAAATTACTAGGAGGAATATTACTCTTTTGAGTAGTCAATACTTAAGCTCTATAGATCGTCGTGAGTTATTAAAACTTCATTTGAGTCGTGTTGTTTTTGGTTCTTTATTCAGTGTAGTGTACTTTTGGGTGTGGTTTAGGTTGAAGGTTGGCAGCAAATGTATTCCGTGGTTGACTGCCAACAACGGCGTCGAGTGTGAAAATGCAAGCATTTATAACATCCGATTGTTCAACTCTGAAACGAACATCGAATTATAAATGCTTACAGCAGCAATAACAATTGCTGAGGGTGACGGTGATTGGTGTTGTATTTCAATCCTGTTTGTTGGTGGTTTAAGTTGTGAGCCACAGGTTGGATGCCAGCAAACATCCATGCGCCGGTGAGGAATGCAAGGATCGGGAATCAGTCGCAGGCGGGACAGATAGGCTGGCCCCCTTCGACGGTGAAGTTCGGTGTGGTAATAGGATTGCTGCAGCGGTTGCATCGGAAGCAGTCGTGGTGCCACTTGACGTTCATGGCGACGATGGCGCTGGTGGTGATCGGCTGCTCGCACTTGGCACACTTGTCGGCGAAGAGGTTCTCGTAGTCCTGCTTGCAGTAGGCCTTGCCTCCCCGCTCAAAGAAGGGCTGGTTGGACAGCGGCTTCTTGCAGGCGCCGCCACAGCAGAAGCATTCCTCGTGCCAGTTCTCGCCCATGGCGACGATGGTGCGCTCTAGGATCGGCTTCTTGCAGCCGGCACAGGTGTGGGTATAACGCTCGATGAAGCACTTGGTGCAGACGGGCTCTCCGTCCTGGATGTTGAAGGCGGCATCGTCGATCGGCTGCTCGCAGTGGCGGCAGAGGAAGTGCTCCGGATGCCAGGTCTTGCCCAAGGCAGTGACCATCCGCTTGGTGATGGCCTGGTTGCACTTGTGGCACACAATATTCTCAGTCATCTTGGCGGCTGCTTCGCTGCTTTTCCTTGCACGGAAAATATCTGTTACTGTATCTTCGGTCTCTTCTTCAACGGTGTGGGATGGTTATGGATCCCTTCAGTCTTCTGTAGTGTGTCGTTTCGAAAAAGTGCCAACAAAATGATTGGGTTTACGAAAGATGAAAAGTATTTCACAGAACTACAGATCAGACTGAATATACAAAATTTTTTTTTTAATTTTGATAATTTTTTGTTTTTACAGAGCGAAAACAGAACATATGAATTTGGTGAGACTCGAAAACTGAATGAGAAAATTCTCATGAAACGATATGGCTTCGCTTGAAATGGTATGACCTACTGGGTTTCGAAAATTTTCATTTCGAATAGAGCCTACTTTGGGGATATGTTTACTACGAATATATTCCGAAACGATACGGCTTTGTTTGAAGTGGATCCAATCTGAGTGAATGACTTACTGGCTTTGGCAAATTTTCATTTGTATTTTCTTAGATAGAGCCTACTTTGTGGATCAGTTTAATTCCAACTAAACAGCAGGAGTATTTCGCTTTCCCCAATTTTGAAAATGATAGTAAAGTCACTGTCGTTGTATGCACATATCTATCATGAATTGCAATATATGTAATGAATCAAATACAATTATTTTTAATTTTGAAATTGTAATGGAAAACACTCTATATATGTATTAGAGCCATGTATATGCTGGGACCATGACCATGGCCATAATAAGTTAATAATCCTCTAAAATTTTTAAAAAGTCATAAATCTTCAAAGGATTTTTCTGAGAACTTTAACTAAAGTCCCAGGTCATGCTACTTGAACAATATTCTTAAAAAAATATTTAAAGGTCCTATTTGCATCGAATTACTTCAAGAATAATTGTCCCAAAACTAAGAATACACTCCCCACCAAAGAATACACGTATTACTGTTGGGAATTGAGCTTTGTGCGTGATTTGTCTTACTCTTCGATGGGATATACCCGAACTTGCTTGCCACAACGTCATACCATCCTCATCTAAATTCCCCACAATCAAATCAAATTTTGGTGGTTGCTTCAGGCATGGTTTATTTTTTTTATAAATAATTTATGACCATTGCTTTTTTTTGAAATTCAAACTCTCGAATTAGTCACACCATCAACCATTAACAAATTGCCTCAAGATGGGAAGGAAAGCGCAAGCCCTTAAGGGTTGCAAAACCCTCTCTAGGAAGCAAATGCGAGAGATTGCAATTCCTAGAAGGCGCTGCTAAAAATGTTAGCAATTAATAAAATATTTTTCTACATTTATATGAAAAAAATTTAATTAAAGAAGAAATTCTTAGGAGTTCCCGCTTAGTCCGCAATTAACACCCCGCTACACATGCGTGGAAGTGGCATAACAGGGGACCTGGTCCTAGTCCTGGCTCCTTCTATAAAGGGTGGTGGCACCCGAAAGGGCCATCGTGTGGTATGTGCCACTTCTTTTGTTCCCCGACTCGATGGGGCAGGGCATTGTTTGTGGGGATGCAATGGAAGTGGAAATGGTGGCAGGACATGTCACAATTTGGTTTTGCGCTTTGATGCGTTGCAAGGAATTCCAAATTGCAGCGGGCGCCCCCGTTTGGGTGCCATTTGGATCCGATGGTTGCGGAGAGCTTGTTATGTAAGTTGAAAGGGAATTTGTGTCAGGATGGGATGGCGTCGCATCGCGTCTGCAGATGTCTGCGTATGCGGAGTGCGTGTGCCTCCCCAACTCCAACTCCGGATCCAGGCTAACCTGGGCCTGGCCCATAATTATTTTTATTAAATATTACACCATGTTAATATGCGATAATTGCTTCGCACTTTTTAATTGCTCCAAATGCAAGTGGTGCAACTTTTTGGCACGTTTCTGGGACAAGTTCAAAGTGCTGCTGCTGCTGCTGCCCCTTGGGGCAACATAAATATCCCTCCAACTTCAGTTGGTAATTGCCAGCGCAGTTGCATGACCCACAATCATTTATTTGGGTTGAGCTACGACTACGACGACGGCGACGCTTTTCCCCCTGCATTTGGGAGAGCTACTCGTATTTTTTCCTAAATTTAATTAGTCAAAAGATTAGATTAGGAAAGTGCTGAAATGGTTTGTGGCAGTTTATCACAGAAAGACCATTGTCAGAGCAGATTTAGGGGATATACAATACTATAATGAAATATGTGCGTGTATTGTTTGGGTTACATTTGTAACTGACAATTGTCTTAGAAGATTTAGAGTATACATTATGGAGAAGAAATGTACATTCTGGAGTGGTTTTCTACGCGAGGTTTAAGCGAGGTTCAATCAGTTTTGTATCACTCATTTCGCCTTTTAATAAAGATTTCCGTGGAGAAAGACACTTTAATAAATACAGAAGAACTACCAGAACATCCAAGAACTGGACTCCAGCTTTATTCTCAAAGGAAGAATTAAATATCAACCTAAAAATGTTCTTATAGAAACCAGCCCCAAGGCAAGGCAGAGCAGGATCCCGAATTACATACTGGGGAGCATACACAGGAGCAGCCACAGGAGACAGGACACGGATGCGGAAGTCGTCGCAATCAATTACGGGCCGGCCGCAATCGAGGCAGCTTAATTATTCAATACGTTGGTTGGCTTAAATGGGCAGCCAGGGACAGGGAGGCGAACAAAACAAGCAAAAAAGTGATGCTGGAGGCGGGCGCATTGAACTTTGATTTGGGCCAGTCCCGAGTCTGGACTCGGGAGCAGCATTGACCATCCAGTCAGTTGGCCAAATAGGAGGCGTTTGCAGATTGGGTTTAATTTAATGGAAATAAAAACAGTATATGTACAATTAGAATTAATGTAACGACAAAATTAGCTAAGTGAACTAAATCTAGGGGGGTTATTTTCAGTTCGATCAGGTAGGGGATCTCAGTCAATGGGGATGACCCCCAGATGCGAGGGAGTCCCTTGCTGATGCTGCAGGGAGGTCCACCATCACGGGACTCCCATCTTGCAGTGAGTCTGCTTGTAGGGGGCTTTCCGGCTCGTCTTCGCCCAGGAGCCATTCATTATATAGAGGCTTATGTGGCTCCTTCGCCTTGTTGCTGGGCTTCTTCGAGGAGATCAGGGTGCGGCGATTCAGACGCTTCAGTTTCTTCTGCGAGGTCTTGGTCTTCTTTTTGTGGGCCACCTTGAGGATGGTTTCCCGCAATTCCATGCGATAGCTCTTTAAAGTGGTCAGCTCTCGGGAGAGGTCATCATTGTTGGGAGCTCTGTTCTCCTGGTTGCCATCGGCATCCTCCTCGTCCGTTAGCATCGTCGCCTCATAGTTTTCCCAGGGACAGCGGGGAGCCCTGGGACGATGGGTCTGCTGGAGCTTGAGCAGCTCCTCTGTGAGCAGAAGCTTGGCTGTGGCCCACTTCATCGTATGATGGTTCTTGGCCGGCAACTGCTGGCGATAGCAGAACAGTTGCAGAGGCAGATTGGTATCAAGCTTTGGCGCCTCCGGCTGCTGTTCCACGACTTGTTCTTGCTCTTTCGGCTTGATGGTCTCGATGGGGCTGGGAGTGGGCGTGGGTGATACCTTGCGATCGATACTGTTGCCCATGTTGTTGCTGATTTGCTGGTTAATATGTTTGTGACAGCTGCAACTGATGCTCACTCAGTTTTATATTTCAAAAGCATCCGTAAAGATTTTCTTACCTGAGCCTAGATCACTCGAGCTTTACCTGCGTTTCTTCTCTATGGTATCGCTTTCTTTCATGTCCTGTCTTGGTCGATGTTTTATGGTCAACACCTGGCACGGATTACTATCGTTGACAAAATGCAATTACATAAGCCTGTGGCGATCCATAACAACATTAAATCCTTTCTTGCAAACTTACCCAAAATTAAGTCCACCTACCTGAGCCTGATTCAGTTCAGATAGTTGGGATTTTGTTTCGTGTAGCTTTTACCTGAAAGAAAAGGCACGTGCTGGTTCTGACCACTAATGATAGTAGACTTGGGGCTTGGAACTCTTATAGACACTAAACACTTGGCCAACAAAGAGTGTTTCTGCTTTTACATTGCTTAAAAATACCCAATTGACAAAATTAAGAGAGCTGTTTGACTTCAATTTCAATGTATATCTTAGCTTATATTAGATGTTCGATTTGGATCTAGTATTAAGACAAAAAGCTTATAATTTATAAAAATTATCGATAGTGTTTCACCAAATTGTTTTGCAGTATTTCACTTGATGAACAAATCTGTATTTTGTTTGGAAATTTAAATATTTTAGTTAAATACATATGTAATTTTTGTTTTGCATTCGGATTATGTTACGATTTAAGAATCCTACGGTTTGCGAAAACCAAAACACCCACTTTTCGGTTTTCGAAAGCCGGAGAACGATTGACAATTCTGAATATGAATATTTCAATTCTTTGCTCTTGTTCGCAGCATATCGATTTGAGTCGAATCGCAATGAATGTTGGTAACCGTCTTCAGTCTCTAGTGACGTTAATATTATAACGCTTTAGTGTTATTATACATAACTCCTTTTAGTCTGTTTTTATACATAAATTATAAAGAAATAAAGATAAGCACCTATTCGTATTTGAAACTACAATAAAATTGGCCAAACTTCAAAATGTGAACAGTCCAACAGATTCACACGAAATTAAACTTTTCTGTAAAATAACAAATTTAAGCGATGGCGACTCCGATGCGGCAGCATTCGTTAGCTTTAATTTGTTCTGCTTCTTAGGTTTTTGATATTTTCAGATGTGACTTTCTGCAACCTGCTGGCTGAAACTATTGCCGTATAGATACTAACGCCCTAAAAGGAATGCAAATTGTCTTACAATACAGCGATCACATACACCCATCTGAGCATCCCAAAAATATCTGCAAACATCAGGTAAATTGAAAACTAAGAACCCTAAATTTACAGATAAGAATACCCTGTTTTGGGAATACCCCAAAAGAGCTATGCCTGACCTCACATTGGTATCATGACACGACAGGATTGACAAGTGGGCAGGTCATTAGAGTGGTCCTATCTGGCTACCTGCCGAAGTCCTAGCCGACATATATAAGCCCCAGTGCGTGATCACAGCCACATCACTCGTTTATCAACTCTTATCGGCCATGGACAAAGCGCAGACCAAGCAATTGCTGATGTACCGCACGCCCAATGAGGCGCACAATCAGATCTTCATATTCAACTCTCCGATTGACTATAAGGACCAGCAGTTGATTGTGTACCAGCGTCCAGGCGTCCTGTGTGGAGAGAACGGCTTTGGCTATTGTGTCGTTTACAAGCGGGATCACTATATCCTGAACAATCCGCCCAACTTCCAGAGCCCCACCAAGAGGAGCTTCCTCAACGAGTGCATCCGTCAGCTGTATCTGATGAACGGTCTGGTTCACAAGCTGTACTGGGGTTCCTCGAGTGCCTCGCTGGCCACGCCTCGAGAGCTGTGGCACCAGGTGGACAGTTGTCTGCAGCCAGAGCGGATCACCAAGAAGATCGAGAGCCTGAAGCGGGTGAAGCGACAACTGTTCCGGGAGCCAAGATGTGGACGCAAGACCACAAAGCCGGTGCGCGGCAAGGTCTGGGGCACCCAGGTTTTCAGCTTTCGTCCAATGCGCGAGAAGATCGGACGGCGACACATACGTCGTGGCTTCCTGAGGCCCGCCCGCCAGACGGTGCTCCAGCAAATGATCTGCGAGAACCTGAAGCGCGAGATGGTTTGCTCGCCGGCCGTCTGCCAGACCGTGATAAGTGCCGCTGAGGGCATCTTCAATGTGAACGCAAGCGTCATCAGCGACATCTGCAGCTACCACAACAATGCGGCCCGCCATCAGCCTGCCGTGGAGTGCCGTCTTACATCCGGACAGGTGAGGCTGAGAAACAATGAGGCCTGTCGGCTCACGCAGCGAGCCAAGCGTTTGGAGGAAATGTTCATACACGAACAGGTGCGTCGCGCCGTCCAGAACCATCAGCTCATTTTGGAGGAGTCGGTTCGCTCGATTTTCTATGCGAAGGAACTGTTTCGCCTCATCGAGGATCACGAGGAGTTCGTCTGCACCGACAAACAGATACTGTGTCGGCGTTGAGCAGATAGAATCGTACTACGAGCAATTGGCATAGCCACGCTTCTTCCACTAGGTCTCATTTCTTTTGTATAAACTTTATATATAATGCATGATTTGTTAAAAAATTTTAAAAATAATTAGGAATACATAAAAAAAAAACAGATTACAGATTTCTGGACAATTTACACGGCAGTTAAACTTTTACAGATTTTAGTTTCATCTTAAATGTCTAAGCAAGTTGATAAAATGTTGATCTTTTTTGTAGATCCTGTCCAAATATAATTCCTCCTAAAAGGAATGAAGGTTCGAAGGTTACGTCGTCTTCTGTTGCTCTATTAACTTGGAATGCACATCCATCAGGCTCTGTAAATATGTTTAATATGTGAAATTAGTTATAGAATTTGTGTAAAAACGTCTATTATTTTGCCCCAACGTATGAATTCTTATAACATGTAATTTCTAACTTAGATCTTTAGAGTTTTAAAAATTGTTTGCTTAAAACTCGTATTTTTGCCTTTAAGATTGCCTACATTTTTGTGCTTATATTAATTGTAAGATTGACTTCATAACATATCATATAAGATCATATTTAATTATTGATTATAAGGACCATTTATTCTAACAGATTTATAACAGCCAAAAATATGTTCAGAAAACGATTTTCCATGTATATACTAGTTTTATTAATTTAGTTCTTTTGATTTACATTTCTGTTGGATTTTGGGATTTTTATTTTTGTTATTGTCCAAGTTTTTGTGCATTTTGCTCAACAATCTGAAAGCATTGATACTTACAGCATCTGCATCATGAAAAGTGTTTACAAGTACTTATTTTCTGGATGTTATGAATTTATACAGAATATTGGAGGTCCAGTCTTCGATTAAAATCCTAAATTTGAAATATTTGAAAACGATCATCAGTGAGGGTCAGTTTTTTCTCCGATTTTCCATCTCTTAAGCACATTTCCGCTGCAGTCAGGTTTATATAATATTCATTAAGGAATTAATTTTTGCATCTCTTTGGCAATTTTGAGCCTCCTGACTATATTATATTCCCAATGTCGCAGTCTTATATTTCATTTTGCTTAATCATCTAGAATTTGCGGCAAGCATTACAAAAATTGCATAATTTTAACTAAATTAAATGTAAATACAGTGTTGAATCTAAGTGGATATCGGGGGCGATACTTTACTTATATCTCAGTTTTTGAAACCATCCTGTATGGCGGCGCCTTCGTTTATATCTCGAAGAATGCCCTGTGAAATTGTCAAATCGAATGGTGGAAGTGGAAGTGGGAGGCCAGATAGGCATTAACAAAGTTCTGTTTACTTAATTTAATCAGCTCGTTTACTCGTAAAACTGCAACCATTAAAGCCCTTATATGTAACCAAAAACAAACTGTACAAAGATAACTAGTGCAAGCGCCTCTAAATGGGTTAACAATCCCAGCACCTTTATCGTCTTCCCTCATACCAATCTAGGCGAAAGTTTCTACAGAAGATAGGGTCGAGGGCGGGCATACCTTGAAGTACTTCACAGTCTTGACACGCAGCTCCAGCGTGGCATCCTCGTCGCAGATCATCAGTGTGTTGGCATGCTGCTGGAAGGCGCTGACCGTCCACATATGGTTGACGCCCTCCTCGATGGCCTTGTACAGGGCAAAGGCTTTGTGGGCGCCCGTAATGAGAATCATCACCTCCTTAGAGTCCATCACAGTGCCAACGCCAACTGTGAGAGCCTGCTTGGGCACCTTGCTCATGTCGTTGTCGAAGAACCGGGCATTCGCTTCCAGCGTATCCTGCGCCAGGGTCTTCACACGCGTACGTGAGACCAGCGACGATCCCGGCTCATTGAAGGCGATGTGACCATCAGGACCAATGCCGCCAATAAACAGCTCCACGCCGCCGGCCTCCTTGATCTGCTCTTCGAACTTGTTGCACTCGGCCACCAGATCGGGAGCATTTCCATTCAATATATGGACATTTTGTGGTTCTATATCAATGTGCTTGAAGAAGTTGTGCCACATAAAGAAGTGATAGCTCTCCTGGTGATCTCTGGGGAGACCTGTGATGGGATAGCGTATTTAGGTTTATTTGATTCCCTGTCAGCATCTGCGAAGACTCACCCACGTACTCATCCATGTTGAAGGTCTTTACATACTGAAAGGAGACCTTTCCCTGCTTGTGGAATTCAATGAGCTCCTTGTACATTCCCAGCGGGGTAGAGCCAGTAGGCAGGCCCAGTACAAAGTATCTGCAAATGAGAGATCATATCGTTAACTGTCATACTCGAATGATGTCAAATCTGAACACCCCTCTTACCTGTTCGGACCCGGCTGGAAGTCATTGATGCGCTTCATCACATACTTGGCTGCCCACTTGCCAACCGATTGGCTCGTTTCCAATATAACCAATCTCATATTTTAGCTGAAATAATTTTCAAGAGAATTTTAAGCAATTTTTTAGGTCGAAATATGTATTACTGTCTGTAACACCATATGGAATAAAATGAAGCGACAAACAATCTCATACGGGGTTTGAAAACAATTGATAACGATCACTTATCGCATTAAAACCCCAAACAACACGGCTGGTAACACTGGCCAGGATTAAGATTGAGAGAGGGGAGGGCGAGGCTGTAAAGATTGTTTTTGAATAGTTCAATGAAACTGATAAGCCAGTCCGATGATTAACCCATTTATGGAGCTGGCCCCACACACATACACAAAGCACTTTCATTCTCACTTTGAAACCTGGCTGCACTTGAGTTTCACGGACACTCACTCACCTCCGAATCGGTCGTTACTGCAAACAGCTGCCTATTAAATGCTTATTACTGCTCAAATAGAGGCGTATCTATATCTGTATATATTCTGCGGGTGCTTGACAGTGCCGGGCAGGCGTCGAACTTGGAGCGGGTCTGTCTGGTGCGAGACTGGTGCCTGCCGCTTTAATTTGGCTGCCAATTTATGCATTGCGTTTGAGCGGCGATTAGCCTGTGTTTGCGGTTGCTACTCCGGCGCTCTCTGGCTTGGCTGATAAAGGGAAGTACAGGCATAATTGCAACGAAAACAAAAGAATTTGCAGCAACCTTGAGATACTTTCTGTTATCGCAGTTCATCGGTCATCGGTTTTCCCTTTGTGAAACGTCAGCTCCCCCTCTCCCTCACCCCTCCTACATTCAGTTTAATGACCCCAACACACGAACCTTCATTGTGTTTTTTGAATTTTCTCATTTATTACATGGCAACTACTCATTTGCTACATATTGGGAGGAAATGAGGGTATGGACAGTGGGCGAATAGGCCCGGAAAGTACAACGCAAGCAAGATAAAATCCACCTTTTGCCTATATACCTTGACGTTTTTGCCTGTTGTCCTACCTTTTTTTATAGCCCATTCAAAATTACGACTCATTTTTTCGTTTCAGGAGAGAGCAGCAGCGTGACTCCAGAAAACTCTATGCAGTTTAATGAACTCTTTCTCTCTCTGTCAGTTTTGAGTGGCTTGTGTTTGAGTGTTTATTCAGGGTTGTCGAATACACACATTATTTAAATCGATCGCCGCATGAAAAAAACTCGTATTTAAATTAATATAAATACATATATTCATTAGCAATTGCGCTCACGCCCAATGACATCAAAGCGTTATTTAATCTACCGATAATTCACTCAATTATACATATTTTTGAGTGACACCTCGATTACCACATCGCCCGTTCGACATAGGAATTCAAATTCCAAAAATAATTCGTCACGGCGAATGAACATACAAAAGAGATGACGAAAGAAGGGCCCAAATGAGAAATTGAAATGCGTACCCTACACATATGAGAGATAGATCATATAGTTTATATAAGTTTAATAGCAGTTTCTTCATTTATTTTTTTGTTGAGGAATTGTTACACAGGAAAATATATAGATTCACTATAAGAGTTTGAAGGATCGTGTACTTAACCATAGATAGTATTTAGTACATAATATGTACTATGTCCATACCACAGTTTTAAAAGATACTTAACGCAAACTATTTTTCGATACTGCTCTAAAAAGTCCATTCGTTTTATTCAATTACATATATTCCATGGCAACGATTTGAAGAAAACTAGTTTAATATGAGAAAACGCTTTAAGTTATATGCTATTAAACTACAGAATGGTCTGTATTCGCCTATCTGATCTATATAAACTTAAGTTCCCATAACAAAAGCAGCGAAAGTTAAGATATATCCACAACATTTTGCCAGGTTTCACAGGAATATTATACTCTTAATGGGACACACCATATGTATTGTATGATTTGTACAATCTTTTTTTCATCTAATGAGCAGATTTACAGACTTTTTCCCCGACTTCAAAGCTTATACATATGAGAAATGCCTTACTCACAAGTTAATACCCATACATGTTGATCAATAAACATGGTTTTTCTTTATTTTTGTTGTTTTATCAAATAGAAATTACATACATAAACATAAATGTACTTATATTTTACGTTCCGTTCTGCACGTTTCTTCTCATCTTTTCTTTTAAAATAGTTTTTGCTGCGTCGCGGCGATGATACATTTTTAGGGGCGACCACGCCCCAGCCATAGAAAATGCAACGCATCGCTTAGCCGTACGGTTTTTTCTTGTTGTAGTTGTACATTTTTGTTGGTGTTGCTTTTAATTATTGTATTGTTTTTTTCCTGGTAAATGTGATTCTTGTTCTAGAATCGGCTGCAGGAAGCCCAATAGAACCGGTCTGGGCCTGGGAGAAAGCGTCGGTTGAGTCTGGACCCGGATCTGGGGGTATCTATATGTTTAAAAATATATATATATTGCCGGGCTTCTTGTCATTTTTCGTATGTATTATCTGTTCTATAGTATATAAAGTAATATTGTATTTTATGCGGATTGTACAAAAAATACTTAAATAAATATTTCTGTTGTCAGGAGCATCTTGGTATTCCTCTGGTTTATGCAATTTTTGCTCGTTGTTGTTGTTTTTCTTGTTAGCGTTTCCTTAAATATCTACTTGAATTGCTTATGGAGAAAGAAGAGTGCGCCCAAGTCCATCGAACATATTGTCTTCTTACCAATATCTTCAATGTTCTTCATGGCACAAATTCAAATACAAAAAGTGTGTTTTATGCATGTATGTTCTAGATGGTATACAAGAGTGATATCGATCGGTCCATATATACCAAATAAAGCTTACAAAAAGTAGTTAATGAATGTCTTTGAACAAAGGGGAGCACACAGAACATGAAATTTAGAAACATTAAAAAGGGAAATTAAAGCGAAATGTTATAAAAGGGAAACATATGTAATGGAAACGGTAAACGTGGATAGGATTGGGTTTGGTGTATTCTGACGAAGACGATGGATTATCGCTCTCATGGCTGGTGGAGCAGATCAACACAAATGTTTTTTGTTTCAATTATCGGCGACACGGGCCACAAAAAATAACTTAGTATTACTACAAATCTGTCTCTGTGTGTTTGTGTGTGTGTGCTGCTGCGGTGTTTTTCTGTCTGTATGATAGATAAATCCGTGTGCTTTCGCGCGAAAGATTACATAATGGCGCACTTCTCGGCGGACTGCAGGGGATCACCCTGCTGGTGGTAGAGCTGCTCGTTGCCATCGACCGCGCTGATACTGCGACGGCGACTCTGACGGGAAGAGGAAACATGGGTGGAAACAATCCGCTTGATGCGATCCAAATTGGCCACAGTCTCGCCGTCAATATTCAGCAGAATCGTCTTGGTGTTGTCGCCGGTTATCCACTTTTGTTGCTTCATCACAATGTTGGTGGGCGGCTCGTGCGAGGCTTTGCTGTCCACCGACCATACAGTCACATATGCATTCGCGTCGATCTTCACGGAGCGATGGAACTTGTACGTGTTCGATGGCCCACTCTCGTTTACTATGCGCTGCAGCTGCCAGCCGCCGATGGCCACCTCTTCGTTGCCCTTGTTGAAGATCTTCACGAACTTGCCCTCCGGATCGATTTCCTTAATTTCAATATTACCCTTGGCACTGGCCGACACATAGTAGTCCGAGACGCTGCGATCCTCCGACTCGTCCACAAAAGTGCGCTTGCGCTTCAGCGCACCAGATGGTGTGCGGCGCGACGGCGTAGCGCGGGTGCTGCTGCGAAGCGATTGACTGAAGGACTGAACGGTGGCCGTGTTGGACGGTGTTATGTTCAGGCGATGCTCCTCGCCCATAAGTAGCTTGTCGTAGGCGGCAATTTCCAAATCCAACGAAACCTTGATGTCCATGAGGTCTTGGTACTCCTGCAGCTGCTGGGTCATCTCGTCCCGCAAGCGGATGAGCTCCCTCTCGAGCATGGCCACTTCCTGGCTGTGACGCTCGCGATCGTTATCCAGCTGATGCTCCAGCTCGCGTATGCGTCCGTTCAGCATTGAATTAGTCTGCTCCAGATCGCTGATCTTGGCATTAAGCCCGTCAATGCGCACACGAGTGGTGCGCTGCTCCTCGATGGACTTGTGCGTGGAGTTGTTGGTACGAGCAGCGGTCTCCTGCAAGCGGCGGATCTTGTCTTCGTACAGGCTCTCGATGTCATCGCGATTGATGCGCATCTGTTCCTCGTACTGGGCACGCAGATCCTGCAGAGATTGCTTGAGCTTGGCATCGTACTCGGACGAAAGGCGGCCGTCGATCTCGCTATACTCCGTCTGCCGCAGGCGACGCGAGTCGTTGATCTCCTGCACATGAATCTGGTCCTTGAAGGAGAGCTCCTCGCGCAGGCTCTGGATGGTGTTCTCCAGGTCGACGCGAGTCAGGGTCTCAGACTCCAGGTTCTTGCGCGCCTCATCAAACTGCTTGCGTAGCCGCTCCAACTCCTTGAGCGCCTCCTTCAGATCATCAATAGCCTTCTTCCGTTCGGCAGCGGCCTGGTTGTATTTGTTGCTCAGCTCATTGGCACGCGACTCGTACATGCGGGCATTGCCTGCGTATGGAATGGAGGGATGGTATTGATTAGATTCAATTTAAAGATACTGCTGCTGCTACTGCAGCTGCGGTTGCTGGAAACTCACCCTCGGCCGTGCTGCACTCCTTGTTCAACTTGTTCAAATTGGCCTTGAGCTCTTCGTTCTCCTCCCATATCCGCTTGAGATCGATCTCAGCGCGGGCCTTGTCCCGTGCCATCTCATCTAGCATACGGCGCGTCTCGACCAGCTCGCCCTCGTAGATGTTCTTGAGGTTCGTCGTCTCCCGGGTGGTGGTGTCGCGGCTGGTCTGCACCTCGATGGTGAGGCGAGTGTTCTCCGTCTCCAAGTTGCGAACGCGATCAATGTAGGTGGCCAGGCGGTCGTTCAGATTCTGCAGCTCCACCTTCTCAGCCACGCGGGAGTGCCGTGTGGGACTGAGTGGGCTCGAGGCCTGCTGCTGCTGCTGAGGCACGGGTCCCACATTGGGCGGCAGTGGGGTCGAGGTGCTGCCGGGCTGCGGCGTGGCGGCGCTAGCACGTCGGGTTTTGCTCGACATTTTTGCGCTGTTAAAATGGAAAACAAGAAACACGTGAGTTCGTCTGGGACCGGATCACGACCTCAATATGCTGTTAGCGTATGCTTTCAGCTGTTTTATTTCCTATTTGTTGAACTTTTGCGCGGAACGAACGACAAAAGCAGTAAAGAGAGCACTGATAAAATTCCAAACAGCACACAGAAATCTCGAAATAACAAACAACTCAAAAGAGGCAGAGAGGGAACTAGTTTTCTCACACTCTCTCCCGCTCTCACCGACACTCATGTTTTCACTCAGTCGACTGTACTAAAGCGGACGAAAAAAAATGGAGTGAGTGGTTTTGTCGGCGTTTGTTTATGGGCGTGGGGGTGCGGCTGCCAAACATGAATTTAACCCATTGCACTTATTCCCTCTTTATTTAAGCCCGCTGTACGGCTCGTAACGCATTAAAAGGTTTTCAGCAATATGGCGATTTTCATTCAATATTTGCGGCATTTTGCTGCAGATGCAAGCGGGGGGGATTTCGATTTTGAGTGAAAATGCCGTGCACTTTTCACAACCCGATTTGTCTGATTAACGTTGTACTTCGACCAAATTTACATGTTGCAGGTTGCGGAAGTAAAGTAGCTGACTTACGTGTGAATTAGTACAGAACAAAATATGCACAAATTGGAAAATTAAATTATTTCGCTGCAGGAAAAACGCGGCCCGTGAACTTGAAATTGGTCGATTGATAGAAAAACTATCGTTGTGGCTACCGATAACCGCATTTCCAGAGGGTATTTTTGGAAAGACACCGATAGTACCAGCTCTGTTACCGATCATGTTATTTTACATTTTGTAGACATTTTTTACTTGAACCTTGTTTTAGACACAATCTAATAACAAGAAGACCCTAAAATACGCATATCTTGTAGAAAATTGATTCACTAATCGGATAAAATTATGATGGCATGGCTAAATGTTCTATATAGCTAGTAATATTCGACGGAATATCAAAAACGAGGAATATGTAAAATAGAACTAATTCGTCAGTATATTTACGGTATATTTTTTTTAATGCGACGGTATGTTTCGGTATATTTATAAGGGTCAGACGGTATATTTTAACGATAAATCTGCGGTCACACTCATCTCTGCGTCACGTTAAAGGTTTTTTTATTGTTGTCAGAAAATTACTTAAAAACTAAACTTCAGAGCGAGTATTTGTGTGAAATAGGTGAGTCGAGATTGCAATGTGTTTACTGTAAATGGGAAGTGTGCAAAGTTGAGGTATTTCGCGATATTTTGCAACAGAATTGACATGATTGGCGGAAAAACAAGATGGCGGATGGTACGCCGGCACCGGTCCCGCAAAAAGCGGCATTTTTTCGTACAGAAAAAACACATGTAATTTACACGAATCTTTTCGATTGATTTTTCCGCAGCATTTGCAACCAATCTGTATTAGGCGACGTAAAGTAAAGCTCAAACTAAAACAAAAATGGCCGATAATGACGATCTTCTCGACTACGAGGATGAGGAGCAGACTGAGACCACTGCGGTCGAGAACCAGGAGGCGCCAAAGAAAGATGTCAAGGGCACTTACGTCTCCATACACAGTTCTGGCTTCCGTGATTTTCTGCTGAAACCAGAAATTTTGCGTGCCATTGTCGACTGTGGTTTTGAGCATCCATCCGAAGGTAAGTACTCCCTGCCTTTTGCCCGGTACAGTTTTTTACAATATGCACACGCAATTGCAGTTCAGCACGAGTGCATTCCGCAGGCTGTACTCGGCATGGATATTCTCTGTCAGGCCAAGTCAGGTATGGGCAAGACGGCTGTCTTCGTGCTCGCCACGCTGCAGCAGCTCGAGCCCGCCGACAACAACACCTGTCATGTGTTGGTCATGTGTCACACACGCGAGCTGGCATTCCAGATTAGCAAGGAGTATGAGCGTTTCTCCAAGTATATGCCCACAGTCAAGGTATGTTTGCTTTGATGACCATTTAAAATGGCACATCTTTTGAATGTTGTTATTTTGGTGGCGCTAGGTGGCTGTCTTCTTTGGCGGTTTGGCCATACAAAAGGACGAGGAGACCCTCAAGAGCGGCACTCCTCATATCGTGGTCGGCACACCCGGTCGCATTCTGGCCCTGATACGGAACAAGAAACTGAATCTGAAGCATTTGAAGCATTTTGTACTCGACGAGTGCGACAAGATGCTGGAGCAGCTAGGTACGTTTTCTACAAGTTCCCAATCCCTGATCTTAAATTTTTGCTGACTATTTTTTCCCTCCCCTCAGATATGCGCAGGGATGTGCAGGAAATTTTCCGTAGCTCACCCCACGGAAAGCAAGTGATGATGTTCTCTGCCACATTGAGCAAGGACATACGTCCCGTGTGCAAAAAGTTTATGCAAGATGTAAATATCAACGTGTTCATAACCCAACTGCTCGTACTTCTCCTCGCATCCACTGCTATCACGACAATTAGTTATTATTTTTGTAAACTCTATTCAGTATCGATACGTATCCGGTACACCCTCCTCCACAATTGCTACATAAGCCACCACACCATATTTGTAAATGGTTAAACGCGTAAACTCCCCCAAACGTAAACGGCTCGCTTGAGCATAACTAAAACCCAAAGAAATGTTAGACGAATGACTGCCAGAAACCATTTTCTAAATGGTTAAACGCGTTGAATGCAAACGTAAACGAAATATAACAAATACCACATATGCAACCTGCAATCCGCGACACACATCATACACCCAATCGCAATGATTTAACGACCAACGAAACGGAAAAGCGAAAACCAATATAACAAGAACAGAGAAAAAACAAATGAGAGCAACAGCCGTGGACTGGTTAAGATGAGAGACTATGCGAATGCCGCTCAACTGCAAGCTGCACACTTCACTTCACGCCGCAGAGTGATTGATTGATTGATTGAATATCTATCTATGTCTTCGGGAGCAGTCCCGGCACGGTCCAGAGTACTACTAGTTGATGAGATATGGTGGTAGCGTGGCCGTATGTAGAAATTTCTAAACATATTTGTTGTATGTTTTGAGGCGAGCCTAGTTTTAGTTGTATTTCTTTTCATATCCCCTAATCGTTTCCCTTTCAAAATGTGCTGCGCCACAATCTATTTCCGATATCTAGCCCATGGAGGTGTACGTCGACGATGAGGCCAAGCTGACTCTGCATGGCCTGCAGCAGCACTACGTTAATCTCAAGGAGAACGAGAAGAACAAGAAGCTGTTCGAGTTGCTCGATGTGCTCGAGTTCAACCAGGTAAAACGCAACGAATCGCCCCTCCCTTTGATTCATATTTCCCCCCGATGCTCACACTTCTTGAGGTTATTTACACACCCATTCCGTAAAGGTGGTTATTTTTGTCAAGTCGGTACAACGTTGTGTGGCCCTGGCGATGCTGCTGACCGAGCAGAATTTCCCAGCCATTGGAATCCATCGCGGCATGACACAGGAGGAACGGTTGAATCGGTATCAGCAATTCAAGGATTTCCAAAAGCGCATTTTGGTGGCCACCAATCTGTTTGGCCGCGGCATGGACATTGAACGTGTGAACATTGTGTTCAACTATGATATGCCCGAGGACTCCGACACCTATCTGCATCGTGTTGCCCGTGCGGGTCGTTTCGGTACCAAGGGTCTGGCCATTACCTTTGTCTCGGACGATAACGATGCGAAGATACTTAACGAAGTACAGGATCGTTTCGATGTCAACATTAGTGAGCTGCCGGAGGAGATTGACCTGTCCACATACAGTAAGACACAGCATTATCCTTATTTATTGAAATCTAATGACTATCCTTTTCCTTTCCAGTTGAGGGACGCTAGAACATTTTAAAGTGCATGGGGATACCACGGATACCCAAAATACAAAAAAATGCACATTGAATAGATACAAATAACCCTAAAACCCCATCTTTTATAAAACTCTACTTTATAACTAAATAAAAAAAAACCTTTCAGACTTTGTTTTGACGTACACTAATCGATGTGTGTTCCACTTATGTATTCCTGTCTGCACAAAAACATTCCCGTCGAAATCGAAAGCCGGAACAGGCTGCAGCACTGGAATAGTTTGCAAGCGAGCGAGTGTCCGTTTTTGTCAGGACATGCGCAATGGCTATGGAGCTTCCGGCTGCTGCTGCTATTGGGCAGGGGCTGGGTGTGAAAAATCAAGCAGCAGCAGCAGTGAAACGGAAGGACGAAAACATCAGGCAGGCCAAACGCGACCCCAAACAGAATGTGAGGATAAAAATGCACATGGCAAACGAAAATGCTGCTGAAAAAGTATGTGAAAACCCGACGCAAGGTGAAGATTGTGCTGCTGCTGGCGATTGTGGGTCTGCTCGTAATCACCATCATTGTGCTGGGCTCCACTGGCCGCAATGCTGCCATCGAGCTGCTGCTGGACGAACGATTTATTGCACGGGCATATCGGCCTGGTGACAAGCACCAACAGCAGCAGCAGCCGTTGCAGGAGCAAAAGCAGCCGCCTGTGGCGGCGGTGGGTCTGCTGCAGCCGCAGAGGGAGAATGGTGTGATTGTGCCGGAAAAGTACGACGAACATAAGATCAAGGCGCGCATCATACAGAACCGACTGGACCAGATAAAGCAGCAACAGCAGCACGACCACGAGGCGGAGCAGTCGCGTACCACCCTGGAGGTGGCAACCACGGCCGTGCACATATTCTACACGGCCCCAGTGCCCTGGTACAAGTCCAAGAAGCCACCGCCCGCTGAGCATCCGAATGATATGCCCCTGACGACGACACCCAAGGCGGTGCGAATACTCAACACTGCCTTCTATCCGGCTTTGGGTCTGTACAAGCCCAGCGTGTCGCTGCTCTCACAGCACTTTGAGAACATCCGTAGTTGCGGCATTGGCGTGCTCATCCTCAGCTTCACGGGCAAGCCGGCGGAGACGACCCTTCTCCATCAGATCATTGACCTGGCCCCGCAGCACAATCTGACCGTTACCTTTGAACTGAGCGTGGCCGGGAATCAAAGTGTGGAGTATGTGCGCCAGCAGTTGCAGGAGATTGCCGGCTTCGCCAGCCTACCTGGCTTCTATCGGGTGTGGAGTCAGTCGCGTGGGGCCGCCATGCCCGTTCTGTATGTGAGCAATGCCTACAAGCTGAGCGACAGCCTGGGACGACTGCTATGTCGGACACCGTCGCAAGTGGATCCCGACGGACTGCGGCGAGTGCTGGATGGTTTCTTTATAGGGCACATAAGGTGAGAGTATGTCCTGTTCCAGTTACATGCTGAATTTGAATCCTCTCTATAGACTCAAGAGTCATGCGGATGTGATGCGTCGCCTCTGCTTCGATGGCTTCTACAGCAAACTGCCCAGCAATGGAGCTGTATTCGCCAGCACCTGGAAGAACTGGTCGTATCTGAAATCGTATGCCCAGTCATACAAAATGATGTTTGTGCCGACAGTGGGTCCCGGGTTTGCGGAAAGAAATAAATTCCCCCGCCATGGGGATATACAGAGGCATCGCAGCAATGGACGCGTAAGTGGGAGGAGAACGAGATCTCTTCTTTGAGCCTATATACATATATTGTAATATGTTCCTTTCGTCTCAGTATTATGGCGTGGCCTGGCGTACGGCTATACTCAATCATGTGGGCTTCATCAATGTAGCCAGCTATAACAATTGGCCCGATGGCAGCCAGATTGAGGAGGTGATGCCGCGTGCCGGCTTCCTGGACTACAATCCTGGTTCGAGGACCAAGTATTTGGATCTGACGGCCCACTGGGTCGGTAATTTTCTAAAGACACGTCAGGAGGCGGCTGCAGCAGCTGCCCCCGCATCGCCCCAGAACTGTTACGAGCTCCTCAATGGGACAATTTGCTAGAGAGGTTCCACACAATGAAATCTTCCATATATGGATAATACTAGTGCAAAGTCGGTATTTACTTTAGAAGCAATATATCTATAGATTGCAGGCCACACAATTACTTTCCAAACTAAAAAAATAAATACAGCCATATATCGGTCAACTATTACATATATATATATATATATGATATATAGATATATAGAGAGAGATCAAGCAATATATCTTTAAGTAGTGAGTGGTTAACATTAGTACGAGACTATGCTCAAATTATATCCATAGCTAGAGCCACACATTTTTTGGAAACTTTATTAGCTTTCGATTATTGTAACAATAATAAGAGGATGAACGAATGATGATGGAACAACAATATCATAACATAATGCCATGCCATATTATATAGAAATCAAATGAATGAAAACCAATTATCTATGTTATATCGGATATATACTAAAACACTTGTTAAACAATTGGTACTTGACAAATTTTAACTTTACTACCAGTAAAAATATATAATTAAATTACTTTATCTAAGCTTTAATAGTTTAGTGCCAACAAAATGATTATAATATAAATTATTATTTATTTTTATGGGCAGCATGTTGATACCTGATATTTCCCGCTATCCGCTATCGATGGCTCTCAGGAAATTGAAACGGAAGCGAATATCCGATATGGAATGTTTCATGTCCCTGTTTTTGTCCTGTCATTAAGACTGTCATTAAAGCTGTCAACTGTTCCATTCCCATCGTTCCTTGACAGCAGCTATAGAAACTCCATTTTGTGGTGCTTATAAATTAAAGATTTTGCAAAATGAATCCATTTCCAAGTGCGCTCACAACAAGAGTTATAGCTGCCCCGGTAAAAACAGCTGCAGGACGTCGCCAGCCTCGGACACCAAAGACACCGAAGGAGTCCACCATCAAGGGATGTGCGTGCAAGCGTACCTCGTGCATTAAGAATTACTGCGACTGCTATCAGTCCATGAGGATTTGCCATGAGTTTTGCAAATGTGTTGGTAAGTCAGTCAATCCCTTTTTCCACAATATATTTTCACTCTATCACTCAGATTGCAAAAACTCGGTGGAGCGTCCGCTTGTTACCGACAATCTGCCAAAGAACTCCAGACGGCAACGTGCTAGCGCAGTGGCTGCCAAAGTCGAGGCTGGCGTCCTGAAGGTTGGCCTAAAGCCGGCACCTACAACGCCGTCCAAGGTCATCGTACAGGGTAAAAGAAACCAGCCTGGAGATCAGCCCATCATCCCATTAGGAGTACGTATTGTCCCGAAGCCCACGCCCATGAAACTGCTGCCCGACAAACCACGTGGAATGCCCCAAGAGCCGGTTTTAATCCAAATGCCACAGCCACAGCATCAGTTGAAGCAGCTAACAAATGAACCTCGTCATCATGTCGTTCCCAAGTTTCGTCCCGATCAGGACAGGTTGATGAGCCAGAGCATGCCTGAGAGCCAGGCATGGTGTGGCTCTCCGCCTCAGTCTTCAGTTATCGTCTCCTCGCCCAGTTGCGAGGTAACGGAGGCAGAGAAGGAGAACACGGAAGAGACGAAAAGCAAGGAACTCAATCTGTTCATACAGCCCGTCAATACGACACTGCTCGAGTGCATGCTGATCCAGGCCACAGAGGCGGAGCAGCTGGGATTGAGTGATATCCAGGTGGGCCAACTGGTCCTCAGCGAATTCTTCAAGGGCTTGCAGCTCATTTACGATACCTCCTGTGGCAAGAAGGCGGAATAGAAACGTTTGGGAAATGATTGTATTTACAATTATCAAATTTATAAAATGAAATATTAATTAAGAATTGAACAAAGTCAATCATCGTTATGGGTGCTTTGTGGTGGCCAAAACTTTGCTCTAAGCTACCAGTCGGGCGGCTGAAATATCAGCTCCGTTACGAGGTTGTCGCAGCTGTTCCTACGCTGCGCCCGACTCGATCCGGTTGCTGGTGTGTCCCTGTGCCGCTCCAATGGCAGTTCATTGTCACTGTCGCTTTCTCCTTCGGCCTCGGCCGCATCATCCTCCTCCTCTGTATCGGCCTCAGCCTCATCGTCCGCAGCGCGCCGCCTGCGTTGTTTGGCTCGTGTCTTGGTTGGCTTCGAAGAGCGATACTTTTGCCAGAACTTTGCCGGCTGGGCAAAGTCAATGTAGCTGGGAAAGCGCATTGCCAAAGCCTGGCACAAGTTGTCAAAGGAATGCTGAAGTTCGGGGCTCATTACCGATTGAAGGTTGCTATATGTTTCCTCCACATAACGCAGACAACGTTCCAATTGTTTGAGCTGCATACGGAAATATATATGATGAGGAACTATAATAATTTAATGCTGATTTCTAAATCAAAATCTGGCTCACTGGCTCATCCAAGTCGACACGTTGACGTCCACGTCCTCTCGCTGGGGGTGCCCCAGCAGCTGCTCCTGCTGATGATGTTGAAGGATTGGGGGCAGGTGCTGGTGCCTCTGATTCCTGTTCTCCTTCATCGCTATTCTCACCATCAGGACGGGCACCTTGCTGTCTGCCTTTACCCTTGGTGAGGTAGCAAATGCGACGCATAATGAAGAGGATGTCCTGGACCACGGCCAAGGCGCCGGGGGCACTCACAAATGCTTCATCCTTGCTTTTCTCTGAATAGAAAGAAACACCAGGGTTAAATGAGAGACACACACAGCTACCTTCAGCTTACCCGCCAGCAGCTTAAGTTGTCCAAAGTACAGCAGCAGCGTGTGTTCATCTATCGTGGACATAATGTGGTTATAGAGCAGTCTGCGGCTTTTTACCATCTTGGCACCCTTCAGCGGCGACTGGTAGCGTTTGTTAATCGGATCCACACCCTTCAGATAGGGCTGGCCATTGAGATAGAACGGAGATTCTCTGAGGCAATGAACAAACACTGTCTTGTCGTACAGCCGTTTGTAGCGAATGAAGAATGCATCCGCCTCTCGGGCCACCTCAGCGCTGTCGTCAACCAGGGCGGCCAGCATGGAAATGAGAATGGGTCCTTTTAGCTTAATGATGCCCGAGAGAATCACGTCCTTCACACAGCGGAATGTTCGCACCCGTGTCATCGCATACTTTGAGTGCATTTTGGCTAGAATACACTGGAAATTTCGCTCCAATATGTTCGGATGCTTCTTCCCCAGATCATTGATGGCTATGAGGGTTGTATTGATAATTTGCGGCCGGTCGTTCTTGGTTAATATGGTCTGATAGAGCTCCGACACCTCGCTGGCCAGACGATGCTCTCGCAGACACAGACGTCCAGCTATCACGATCATCCAGTTGGTCATGCGTTCGTTATCCGTGTCGAACCCAGACTCCTTCAGCTTGGTGCACTCTCGCAGGTACTTGAATACGATCTCCTTGATGCGAGTGTCTACCGTCTGCGGCAGCATTACCAGTATTTCCGTGTACGCGCCCAACAGGCACTGCAAACGCGTATGCTCATGCTGAAAATTGTTGGCGCTCTCCAAGATGCCCTCCGTGAGATCATCCAGCAATGTCAGCTGCCAGTTTGGAGGGGCATCCGATTCAGCGGACGGCCCTTGACTGTCGGACAAATGATGGATTTGATTGATCAGATTCACAGCACTCGAAATGAGACCCAGCCAAATATTGCCCGTTCGCAAGGCCTCGAGTAGACGCTGAAAGAGCTGATTCAACGCCGGCTTGGAGAAGTTGGACAGACAGCAAATGATCAGCTGCAGGGCCAGCACTTGGTTGGCCTTCATGTTGTACGAGGAGAGGCCGTTGAAAAGTACAATCAGGGCATCCATGTTGTTGGTGATGCGGCTGGAGAGCAGTAGCAACAGGGCCCAGGCATCCGTGTCCGTTGATGTGGATAAATGCGATATGATTATATTTACCAGCTTAGTTCTGTAAGGAATGGAAGATGCCTTAAATTCTAGTACATTTTCTTAGAGCAGCCACTTTCTTACGTGACGATAGTCTCCCTCTCCAAAAGCATAGCAAATCGCTCCTGCAGATAGGCTCGGGGCTGCGTCATCATCAGCGTATTAACAATACGCCATGGCATAAAATGCTTTGGTTCATTCGAATACTCCATCGGTTGGATGTTCTTAAGCACTATTTTATCGAAACTCTGCAAAGAAACGAACATCTATAGGGGAACCGAACCTATGGTTTATTTAGGGGATTTCTCTTACCTGAATGGCTAGCTTTTGCAGAGCCACATCCTCGTCGCCAAGCAGACATGCCCAAATGCGACAATACACACAAATCAAAGCGAAACAATTGGAATAGGCCTCCAGGAGGGTTTGCATTAATTCCAGAGCCGCTTTTCGCACAGAGGCCAGTCCGTCCACTGCCAACAGGGAGGTTTCTCGCACGAAATTCGTATTGTAGATGATCAAAGGATTTACCAGCACCAAGCGTTCGAGCAGAGCTATGCCCGAGGTACGGGCCAAACCGTTGTCTGCATCCAGGAAGCGCTCGTAGACTATTTTGGGGAGATTCTTGACCTCTGCCTCCAGTTGTTCATAGCCCTCGAAACTGTAGGCACCCTGCACAATGGCCGGCTTCTCGAAGCGCAGCTCATGCTGTTCAGCAGACGGCTCGGCCAGGGTCTCCACATCAGTGGCATCGAACTGAACGAAACGGATGCTCTCTTGTAGTATTTTGGTAGTCCTAGGCGATCCCTGCTTCAGCGCCGAAATTAGCACTTGACAGGCCTTCCGGCGCACGCTGAAGGTTCTGTCGTTGAGGCAACGTATCACTTCCTGCAGCAGGCGGACTTCTCGCGGAACCTTGGACACCTCGTGGCGAAAAATGCTCCACTCGACTTCGGTTTGTTGGAGCAGGAAGCGTTCAATAAGATCTAGGGCACGGGTTTGGATGCCCACCGCATCGTCTGCTTTAACGGCTTCCAAGAGGAAATCTGCACATGACTTATTGCATTTGGCATAGAGAATTCTGTCGTATTTGGCCGCATAGCCAATAGCAATCTTCTCATCACTAGCTTTCCACTGCAAAATGCAAAACAAACGCAATTTTAGTCGTTTCGTTGAATTTGGTTTTAATCTGATCTACTTACCGCCTTTAGGGGATTGGACACCACACACTTAATATAGACGTGCAATATTTGGGCTAATATGTCGGGATATTTGTCTATGAGCTGAATAAACCAATCAGATATGTGCTCGCCAGTCTGCATGGGCCCGGCCCGTCGTCCGCTGCCAATGTTCTGCGGACTGTCCGTGAATATGTGCATGGGGAACGATTGCCGCATTAATAAATGCAGTGTGTCATAGACGTCGCCATTGTGCTCGTTGGTTATTTCGCCAAATAGTTCGTAGCATTTCGCGTGCAGTGCAGGAGCACCTAAAAAGCGTTAACAAATTTAAATAAGTAATCGATAACAAAACAGCTGACATTCGCAGAGCTGTCAACATTCAAGACAAAGAGTTTCCACCTCGCCGTAAAAAACTAAAGGCAGGAAATAACTTAAATAATTGCGAAATTATCAACAATTTGTTTGTTTGCAGAACTCATGTTAAGCTTATTTCTGCACAATGGAGGGGCGGCATCCAAAGGGCAGCTGCGGTGCGTTGTGGCACGTCTTCTGTCCACGACAGCGACCACAAATGCCCCAACAACAACGACAACGCCGGGATCGGAACACTTTGATATCATCATTGGAGGCGGCGGTCTAGTGGGCACCACCTTGGCGGCAGCTCTGGCCAAGAATGACACACTGGCGGATAAGAGGGTGTTGCTGCTGGAGGGAGCTGGTGAATTTAAGGGATTCGATGCCAGTGGTCCGTACCAGAACCGCGTGTCGGCCATCAACAGGAACTCCATAGAACTGTTCAAGTCGATTGGCGCCTGGTCGCATATTGAGGCGGCCCGCTACAAGCCCGTGAAGCAGATGCAGGTCTGGGAGTCCAACAGCGATGCACTTATCCAGTTCCAGCACGACAATTTTGCAAGCGATGTGGCCTGCATCATCGAGAATGATCTGATCCTCGATGCGGTATATGCTCGCGTCCGAGAGGCAGCCAATGTCCAGATCCTAAATAAAGCCAGGATCGAGTGTGTGCGTTTGCCGAAGGATACCAGTGGAAGCCACTCCGAGCTTCAGCTACAGGATGGACGCTCCTTCTCGTGCGAACTGCTCATTGGGGCCGACGGAGCCAACTCCATTGTGCGCAAGGAAATGGGAGTGGATGTGTTCTCGATGAACTACGATCGCATGGGCCTGGTGGCCACTCTGGAGCTGGGCGACGATGTCTGCGATAACTCTGTGGCCTGGCAGCGTTTCCTGCCCAATGGACCTGTGGCTCTGCTTCCGCTGAACGAAAAACTCAGTTCCCTGGTGTGGAGCACAACAGTGTCGCAGGCCAAGCATCTTAAGGACCTACCGCCGGCAGAGTTTGTGGATGCCTTGAACGAAGCCTTCTGCCGTCAGTATGCCCGCGTGGAGCTGGCTGACAAGGCTGTGCAGGCGCTCAACTCATTTTTCGGCCAGCAGGCCACGCAGAACCAGCTGCAATATCCGCCCCGAGTGTGCGCCGTTAAGGATGGGTCGCGAGCTACCTTTCCGCTGGGCTTTTTGCATGCCTCCTCGTATGTGTGCAGTGGTGCCGCTCTAGTGGGCGATGCCGCGCATCGGGTCCATCCCCTGGCCGGCCAAGGCGTCAATCTGGGCTTCAGTGATGTGCGCTATCTCGTGGAGTCTCTGGCCGCCGGCGCCTATGCTGGTTTTAAGCTGGGCGATAAGCAGCATCTCATCAAGTACGAGCGCAAATGCCTGGCCAAGAATGTGCCCATAATGCTGGGCGTCCATGGATTGCACGCGCTCTATTCCACCGAGTTCAGTCCCGTGGTCCTGCTGCGAAGTCTGGGAGTCCAACTCACACAGAATTTACCACCCATCAAGAACCTGTTCATGAAGGGGGCCATGGGTTAAATAAATGAAGACGCCAAGCGCCAAGGGGAATTTAAATTTTAAGCGTTTACAGTTTTTATAGTACGAAATAAAATCGAGTTAATGGAGTCCATGGTCAGTTTAGAAAACACTCCTTAAGAGCTATGTCAATGGTTTTCTTTAGTAATATGTATATATACTTTGTGCAAATAATTAGGTATTAATTTGTTGGATAATTGCTTTTGTGGGTTCTATCTGTTCATTCTCTTTCTCGGAATGTTTTTAAAACAAACGACTTTTGTTCGTTTTTCAATTCTATGGGATTCTCTTTTACAACATACACTTTTGCGTATCGAGCATCATGTGGGAACAGTTGGCTGAAAGTACTAATTAATTGTTCTGATTATACGCGTTTTTAAGTCCACAGAATTTATCTAGAGAGCAGAACAAAGTCTTAAAACTAATTTTTGATCATTCGTTGCGGAATAGTTTTCTGTTGGTGGAGGATACGTTTTAAGGCACGTTTTTGGCTTTTCTCTTTAAGGATAACTTAATCTACAAACATTTGGCATGCTAAAATTCTTGGGAAATTCATTAGAGAGCTTTTTCCGTCTTCTTCTTAGAGCTCTTGGTGAGTTTTGCCTGGCAGTACATTGGACAAACTCTCGCCCATTTTCAACTGCTGCTCGAGTATGCCGTCGTCGCCTTTCTTCACAAACACTTGCTCGCGATCGCTCTTCAGACGCGCCACACCTTCAGTGGTTTGCACATTTATCTGCTGGGAGTCCTCCGTGTCCGAAATGTAGCCTGATTCGCCTGTGTAGTGTATGGGATAGAGCAGCAAGGGGGCGGCACTCAAGGCGATGAGGTCGCGCTTCTTGAAGGCAGCGGTCCAGGTCTTGTTGGGATGGCGATCAAACATCACCGGCAGGAACTCATCAACGGGTATTAGCTTCTCGAGTGGCTTGGCAGCAAGCAGTTTCAGGGCGCCCTGGAGAGAGAGGACATAGCCGAGGGTCCAGTAGGAATAGCCAGCATGGACGAGACTATCGGCATCGGCTACCCACGGTTCGCTCTCTTCCTTGAGACGCTTGCGTCCGAAGTAGATGAGATCGTACTCCACCACGCTCCTTGCCTGATTCAGTACACGCACGGCATTGGCCCGGAAGTACGGATCGAAACGTATGTCGTCTTCGAGGATGAGCACTTCCTTTAGCTCGAGCTGCACCATTCGCACCCAGATGCGGTAGTGGCTGAGGAAGCAGCCAATCTCGCCCATGGTCATGGCTCGATGATGGTAGGGATCCTCGTAGCCGGGAAGGAATCGTATGCCCATCTCCTGCACACGATCCGCATTCAGTTCTTTGCCATCGACGGCGGGAAAGTGTTCCACCTGCAGGCCGATTTCCTCAAACATATTCTCCATCTTTTGACGCCTCTCCGGCCGTCGTTCCAGATTGATCATGAATATGTGATCGAGGGTCAGCTTTGTCTTCTCGGGCGTCTTGATCAGAGGCTGAAAGTACTCCAGGACTGGGGGCACCGCACCCAAATCGCTAACCATGCTGGCTCTGATGTTTAATAGCATTTGCAGGTCCTGCTCCAGGGTGTCACCGGGTTCCAGCGGCTGCAGGATGTACCCAAAGGTCAGTTCATTGCAGACATGTAGGGGAATGCCCGAGCTGTTGGCAGACATGGCAAACACAATGATATCATCCGCAGGGCCTTCGTAGAGAGGCTGATCCAGCTGTTGGTTGCTCTGCTGTATGTCCCGCAAACGTTGGCGATCAAAGGTGAGATTACGGGAACCCTTGTGGTTCATGTCCACGAGAACAGCAGTGTGGACCATGGGGACCGGAAAGCTGCCCTGCTTTTTCACATGATAGATCTCCTTGTACTCGTCGGTACGCTGGTAGTAGTACTCCTCCGTCATGCCACACCAGAAGTTCGAGTACAAGCTCTCAGACAGCAGCATGGGTGCCACAATTGGCAGCCTCAGTGCCGTGAGCGTACGCAGTGCCTGCTGCGATGTTAGCAAGACATCAGCGTCGAGAAAAAACACAAAGTCAGCCCAAATATCGCGGGCATATGTGAATGCCTCCTCTTTCAGGGCAATCACATGCTTGAAACGCGACACCGTCCAGTCGTAAGGCGAGCTCTCGTTCTGATAGCCATGCGGCCCATCGCTGTCAAAGGCGTAGTTCACGCTGTGATAGAGATCTCCTGAGTGTTTCAGCCACTGCTTCAGCAGGTCAATGCTGTCATCGCTGCTGTGATCACACCGTAGCCTGGGATAACAAATAGTTGAGACAGAGAGACTCCTTCAAACGTTGTATTGTCCTTACCAAAAGGCTATGCGATCCTTGGGATAGTCCTGCTGCTCCAAGTAACTGAGGAACATGGGCAGAATGTGCGCCTTGTTGCGAACCAGCAGTGCCACAAGCACTGTCGGGGGCTGATACTCATCTTGAGCCTCTTTCTCATCCTCATCCTCGCCGTAGATGCACACAAAGGCACAAATCAGGAGGATGCCAAAAAACACTTGCTTCTTCAACATTTCCACGTCATTACATGCCACACATTGTCGGTTCAAGGAGGTCACACGCACAGGCACTATCTGCCACACAACGGAAGCAGCGTCTGCTCGATTCGAACTGATGCTGGAGAATAAGAGTTCTTTAATCTATTTATAAACGACGAGCGTTAAATGTCCCAGCATTCAGCCTCCTCCTCCTCCTCCAGCACAGCCGCCATATGACGCGCTCTGGCGATAACATATCTATCGCTCTCAAACTGCAGCAACAGCTGTTTGAGGCTCGTTGGAATTTTGAATGTACACAGGATTCCTGACCAGCAAGAAGTAAGCTATATCTTACTAGTTCATCCGTTTTTAGAATACTTCTCTTCTGTACAGAACACCGTATAACATCAGTGGAATGCAAATTAAATATCCCCAACATCGGATAGTCTAGTATCTTCTTTGACTAATCTTAGTCACAAACATGGTGTGATTTTGATGGAAAACTTTATACAATGGCTCCATAGCATAATCGGACTTTCCTCCGGTCTAATTCTTTCTATAAGATATTTATTACTTTGTACTCAAATCCGAATTTTGGAGCCGCATTAAGTTATCAGTTTCTATTAGATCCCCTAGAAACTTTACACCATTCTTCCTTTGGCTTTGTAGATCAAGTATTTCTTTGCATGAGCTGTTTAGGGTCTTATGCTTGGATTAGAATTCCACTGCTGAGGTACTAAAATAGCTTTCCTCTAATTAGTAGTAACACGTGTGATCACATGTGTGGATCGTTCTTAGTTAGTTTTGTTCTAATTTTCATCATTCATTTATCTGATCAATAAATCTGACCACAGCTGTTGTAGTGCACTAAAAAATAGTAAATACAGAACGTAACAAATATTTATTGCTTATTAACAAAGGGATGAAAAACTTTCACTAGGCAGCCGCCGTATGAGGCTTGGCATAGCTGGGGAAGTTCAGTTTCAGACCCTCTTTGGCCTCAAAGAACGTATACGACAGGGTGATGGTGTCACAATGCTCTAGCGCCGGATCTTGGGTTATTTCGGGGTCAATGTAGAAAAAGACGGGCATGTCCACCTCCTCGTGAGGATTTAGCTGTTGCTCCTCGAAGCAGAAGCATTGGATTTTGTTGAAATACGCGCCAGCCTCGAAGGGGATCACATTGTAGGTGCTTATGCCAATCACGGCCTTGTCCGTGGGATTTCTGGCCGTGTAGAAGGCCAGGGCGGTCTCGCCGGGTGCCACTTTGATCTCGTACTGCTGCGGCTTGAAGTTCCAGCGCATGGAGGAGCCAATGTCCGCATTGAAGCGTATTTTGAGCACACGATCGTTCACCTTCACCATATGCTCCACCTTTTCGGCGTCGTGGCCCTGCGATGTCGTTCCTCCGTAGCTATAGGCCTGGCAGAAAATGCTGTACAGCGGCACGGCCGCATAGCTCAGGCCCATAATGAGAACCCCTCCGGCTGTGATGTAGTACAAGGTACTCTTGAGTCGTAGCTTTCGCGCTGCCTCGCCGGGAGAATCGGTGGATTTCATCCGGATGCGGCATTGCAAGAGCTGTTGTGGTCGTTGGCCACTGCAATGGGGGGTGAATGTTCTCCTCAGCAGCTGCTGGCACTGACCACGCACGGCGAAAAGGGTGCGCAGCATTTGAAACTATTCGTCCGGTCTGTACAATGAGTAAATCCTAGTTGTTTTCATCTAAAACCCACTGTTTGTATAATCTTCCTAGGCACTTGATACGTTTCAGTGTGTACACACAAAGTTCTATCAGCTGTTTGGCACCAGCTATCACAACTATCGATAGTCATTTGGCGCTCATCGGCAAAAACGGCAATATTGGACTTAAATTTATGTTTTGAACTTACGAGAATTCTGATAGCCCTTTTGGAAATTCATGTAGAGAATCTGTAGGAGGCAGCGGATTATCTTGTCCCTTATCTTGACATGCTCCTTGAAATGTACATAGCGGAAGACCAGCTTCAGGTCATCGCACATCGTCAGAAAGTGCATCCAGATGGTGTCTGCAAAAACGCTGCGGTCCGCATTCTGCTCCAGCAGGACGAACAGCTTCAGCACTTGCTCGATGACGTCCTCGTCAAAGATAGCATAGCGCTTGGCTCCCGGAATGGTAAGCGTCAGCAGGTACGTGCTGGCCGCATTCAGGGAAAGCTGCAGGTTGAGGTTCTGATTGAGCACGTCAGGAGCTGCCTCCAGTATATGGGCGGGCGGAATGGACAAGCTCACGACAGTGTAGATGTACGCGAGATATGCACTGGCCGGAGAGAAACTTATAATGTTTGACCAGTTGTCGTGGGTATTGCTATAACTGTTGGTGGATATACTGCCTTCGTCGTCGCGCAAAGACCGTATGACGCCCGCCAATTCGCGTAGCGTCTGCAGTTGTTGTTGCATTTGTTCCTGGCGGCTCCATATTGGCAGCGACCAGAACTCGCGGCCGCGCTCATTGCCCTCATCCGGACTTGCTATCTCGCCGTACAGCCACTCCTCCACATCGACCCACTGCAGGCCGGGAACATAATTCTCTCTTAAATCACTAAAAATACGATTCAACTCGGACATGTTTACATTTTTCTGCTATTGTCACTATCGATAGTCGATACAGCGACGAAACAGATGCTGATGGCTATCGAAACGAAAGGTATCGAGCACACACAGATGCAGGCGGTTGACATTCAAAGTGGGAGGAAAAATGCAGAGTTGATATATTAATGCAATTACTTGGCTTATTATTATGCAATTTTGTTGTTTTGTGGATACATACTTAATTTCTAATTCCACTGCAGTGTGCGTAGCAACCATTGACAGCTAGAAATCCAACGAGGCGGAGGCATTGGAATTGATCAACACGTTGGACCCGCACTTGGGCGAGGCCATAATATCATCAGCAGCCAGCGCAGACTGTGGATTGGCAGGCGACTCCTGCAGCTCTGGCGGCAGATGGAAGCGCTCGATAACGAACTTCTTGCGGCGCAATTTGAAGGCCAGATCCGTGGTTTCCGGCATATGCACGGCCAGGGTGTTTAGGGCCGACATCTTGTGCAGATGGAGCAGGCCGCTGTACTCCTTAAAGGCCGGGTGCGTTTCCCTCTCGGAGCCGGCAAACGACTCCAGTTCGATGGCATAGTCCACCAGTTGACGTATCTTGGGCACTAGACTGGCATCGTACTTGGCAATCAGATGCATTGGCATTGTTATAAGGCAAACTGAGTTGCAGTTGCGCACGCTGGCCATGAGCAGGGTCAGAAACTTGAGCAGATCCTCACCAAAGTTATCGTCGTACCACAAGGGTGAGCCCAGCGAGGTGAGGCAAACGCGGCAGAGATGCTTCTTGGTGCCGGTGATGAAGCTCTCGTCGCGCAGCTGCTGTTGAATATCGTTGAGGAGTCCGCCGTAACGCGTATTATGGAAGACATTCTGGGGCCAAACGGCTGGCTGGCTGCCCGTTTTCGTGTTGGTCGTTACGGTGGCGGTGTTGTTGGCAGTGCTATCGGTAGCTGCAGTGGTGGCGTTATTGTCCAAGGGTTTTATATCACCATCGGCATCGGCCTCAACATTGGCTTCGGGTTCGACAGCCGTCGAATCCTCCTCGCCCATAGCCTCGGCCATGGGCTGCTGATCCATGGAGATGGATGGAGAGCTGCTCTTGGATAGTTCGCCGTCACCAATCCAGTTGTCTTTGTGGCTATCATCCCAAATGACGGTGTTGGCATAGTACAGCATTCGCGAGTCCATCTGCTCCATCAGATTGAAATGATGTCCAATCTTGGCCGTGGCATGCTCCGAGCTCACCAACGGTAAATCATTGTAGCGCCATGCAATCCTTAGCCCATTCTCGCCTGTCTCGCCCGTCTGCTCACTGGCTATCTGCTCCTCGCGCTGCTCCACTTCGGTCAGGGGCCGGGGCAGACGACGCAACATCTCGGCGGGGATATCGTCCAGACTGCCGAGAAATATTTCCTGCTTGGAGAGCACGCCCTCGGCCAGGAAGTACTTGGCCAGCACTTTGGCATGGGTCATGAAGCGATCCTCTTCAATCAGGCAAATGGAGCCCACGGGCAGGCCGCCGCCGATTACCACGTCAAGATACGGATTACCGCTCGATGTTATTATCTGGGCGGTGTGGGGGCTGGTGCGAGTGCCCGGGATGGGCTTTTGCACGTTGCGTTTGCGAAAGCTGGTCATCTTTTCTTTTGTACAATCAGAATTAACCTTCTTTTTTAGCTTCTCTTCGCGTAAACTTGTGCAGCCGGTAGGGGTACTCCTGCAAGTTTAATAGTATCGATAGACGCTCTCTCAGCTGTTTGTTTTGTGTGCGGATGCATTTGTGACGACACTATTGCAGTAAGGGTATTCTTCGAGGTATATCGGTACCGAAACCAGCTGTTTGATTGCAAAAGTTTACAAATTCCAATTTGATGACATAGTTATAGGAAAATAAAGGAAAAAGAATATGCATAAAGTTCTTTTTATCAATTTCAAAACTTGTATATCGGGCTAAAATCAGCTGAGAAAAGACCGTTTATCGATTTTATGATCAGCAGCCGCCGTGGTCACACTGGATTGGAAAGCCCAAAATCATAAACAAACGCTGAATAGCGTTGAGTTGCTAAATTGCTAAATACGTTTAAAAGCCAGGCCATGGCCACGCACTCGGAAGTGGCGTCGCCTCAGATGACAGAGCAGTTGGACAATGAAGAAGTTCGGGAAATACTGAAAAACACCACCGATCTGCGCCAGTACTCCCGTCAGATTGAAAAGGAATTCAAGGAAGTGGAGAATAAATCCATTGAGGGTGGGTATTGGTGATACAATTCCACAATTACAACAAACTTTAGTGGGTTCTTTCAACATTTAGATTACATCGCCGAGTCCCAGAACATTGCGAATCTGCACAATCAGATAAACGACTGCGACGATGTGCTTGAACGTATGGAGAACATGCTAATGAGCTTCCAGAGCGTGCTGAACAACATCAGCACCGAAATTACCCAGTTGCAACGGAAATCCGTCTCCATGTCGTTGCAGTTGACCAACCGACAGTCGGTGAAGGCACAGCTGTCGCAGTTTATTGAGGACATGGCCGTGTCCGAGGAGATGATAACCATCATCATGGAGACTCCGGTCACGGAACGTGATTTCAGCAGTCAACTGAACGTGCTGAATCACAAGCTGTCCCTGGTGAAGGAGCTCAGCTTCAAGGAGTCCAAGTCCACCAGCGATGTGAGCGATGTCCTGCACAAGCTGCGACTGAAGGCCATGACAAAGATCCGCAGCTATCTGCTTGAGCAAATCTACAAGTTCCGCAAGCCCATGACCAACTATCAGATACCACAGAATGCCATGCTCAAGCATAAATTCTTCTTCGAATTCATTCTGTCCAATGAGCGGCACGTGGCCCAGGAGATATGCAGCGAGTATATCGATACCATGGGCAAGATTTACTATAGTTATTTTAAGGTAGGCTTCATTTAATTCAAGAGATTCAAGAGATCGTAGTTTGCAAACCTAATCCGAACCCATGGATTTTTGCAGAGTTATTCCACCCGCTTGACCAGTCTCAAATTCGAGGAATCCTGCACCAAGGACGATCTGATGGGCATTGAAGACAATGCCTCCAAAGGATTGTTCTCCAAGACCACCAGCCTAAAGCACAAGAGCACCATCTTTACAATTGGCAAGCGGGGAGACATACTTAACCAGCAGCTGGAGGCTCCCATCATAGTTCCGCATGCCCAGCTAAAGAATCGCGTGAGATTTGTGAATGCTCCATGGTATGGTAGACCTTGATATCCAAGATGATTTTTATTTGCAGTACACAGTAGAGGCTCTGTTTCGTTCCGAGCAATATGCGCTGGTGGACAATGCCTGTCGGGAGTATCTATTTGTGACCGAATTCTTCATGGTGCGTGGCAGCCAAGCGCAGGATTTATTCAATCAGATAATGGGCAAAACTTTGACTCTGATGATTGTAAGTAAAGTCCGCTATACTCTTAAAGGAATTAATGTTTATTTTGCGATCGCGTAGAAAACCCTGGAGACGTCCATACACGACTGCTACGACACCATAGCCATGTTTCTTTGCATCCATTTGATATTCCGCTATCAACTGATGTGCCACAAGCGCTGTGTGCCCGCCCTCGATAAGTGAGTTTTATCTTTTGGGCATATCTACATAGATACCGATTTAATCATAGATTCCCAACAGATATTGGGACTCGCTGCAATCGGTTATCTGGCCACGATTAGAGCATGTTTTCCGCCTAAACATACAGAGCATCCATGACTGTGATCCCACCAAGTTCAACAAGGAGTTGGGACCGCACTATGTATACCTTATAATCTGATTAATGATTATGCCATATCACAATCAACAACCCGTTTGCCTTGCAGATAACCCGACGCTATGCGGAGTTTAGTGCCGCCATTGTGGGAATCTCGGAGCATTTTCCCAACGAGCTGGTTAGCAGGCTGCTGCTGGAGCTGCAGAATGAGGTGGAGTGTTTCATTTTGCGCATGGCTGCCATATTTCCCACCCGCAAGGATCAGCTCATTTATCTCATTAACAACTATGACCTGGTCCTGGGCGTGCTGATGGAGCACACGCGCGACAACTCCAAGGAGGCAGAGGCCTTCCGCGAGCAGCTGAATGCCCGTAGCAACGAGTATGTGGAGGAAATACTGGCCCCGCACTTTGGGGGCATCATACAGTTTGTCAAGGAGTGCGAGCACTTTTTTGAGAAGGAGCAGATGGATGAGTTGCGCAAGCAGGAGCGTCGCAGCCTTGCTCTGGTGGCCAGCTTCTCGGCCAACTGGAAGAAATCGCTGGAGGAACTTAATCGCGAAGTACTTTTGTCATTCCCCTCGCTGCTGACAGGATCTCAGCTGCTGCAGCTGGCTCTGGCCAGTCTAGTGCAATACTATCATCGCTTCCACAAGCTCCTCACGCCAAACGCGCGCGCACAGTTGACTAACATCCATGTGGTGATGGTGGAAATCAAAAAGTACAAGAGTAATTACTGAGAGGAGGCGCCTTTAATCAGTGTTGTATGTATGTATGCGTGTTCTAAAATATATAAGTCAAAATTGTAAGTACTCCGTTTAATCCTCGTCTTCGAACATCATTTCGACAAGGTCCTTGTTGGAGCAGCGCTCGCCATCCAGACGCTGTGGCTGCTTCCAGCGGAGCAGCGTGGGCAAGAAAATCAAGTGTGTATTGGGATCCTTGCGGAAGGGACAGTTCAAATCCTTCCAGCTAAACGAATAAGAATTCGAATTAGTTTATTGTTTACGCTGGATGACGATAAGGCAACTCAAGTGCCAATGACCCTCATAAAAATCGATCAGCGATAAGCCGGTAATTGCTTTTATCGTGAATGTTCTGGGCGGCACTTAGAATATTTTATTTCATCACACTATATACTTACTAGGCGCGCTCTCCCACATCCACATGCACAAAGTGCGAATTGTCGGGGGCCTTCTTCAAAGCATCGTGTATCACCGGCTCAGCTGCAATAAAAGTTGCGTCGTTTGGGAATGAATAAAGTAATTGGATAGTCGGGGGAAAACCACAAAGGGGCTGACTCACCCTTGACACAGTATGGACACCAGCTCTCGCCGTTCTCGTCCTTGCCGCCGCTGAACAACACATGCACTGCATTGTTTCCAGTCTCCAGCTCCTCCATTTTCTTGGAGAACTCCTCAAAACCCTTCACGTTGTGTGTGACGACCATAATTTTATTGGGATCCGCTTTATTAACACCGACCGCGTATGTGCGTCTGATTAGGCGACCGAACAACTGTGTGACCGACGTGATGGGGCACTTTTATAATAACTGGCTTTCAAAAGTCACGGTACGGCTCTTATACGAACTTTATACTAAAGTCAATTTAGCAAATATGAGTTTGTATTTGTACTACTTTTTCTTCTATAAATTTTATTGCAGGGCCTGCTGATATACTTAGCCCACTTAAGCCCCCTTTATTTAAACAGTATAATAACTTGAGTTAATCCTCGGAGTATAATATAATAATATAATACATGTAAGAATAATAATACATTCTCTTATAGGCCCATCCTATCCTTTATCTTTACTTAAGCAAAACATCACGATATCTTTCACCTATGTAATCTCCGATAAAATTCTTCAATTCTTAATTTTCGTGAAGCGCTTTTTAAAACCCACTGGTCAGCAATGGGTTAATATCTGTTCATGATCGAAAATCATATTCCTCGATTTTTATATTCGGCTTAATATTACTCGCTAGCTAGTGCCCCCAATAGTGAACACATAGTTTTATTCGATATATAAATACATTTTCTACACAATTGGCTAATATTAAATACTCCCTTGTATTGCATTTTTTGTCAAATAAGGTTTAAACAAATGTTTAAATGTAGAAACGATTCGAATTTCTAGAGATGTCGAGTGTCACAACGTTATCGATGTATCGATAGGAATAACAGCTGTTGTTAATTATTCATTCTTATAAAACTGCTATTATTTACTCTTTTGGCCATTGATTTTGGTTCAAACAATGTCGCGATTAGCTTTATTGCGCAACCTATTCTTCCATAGGCAGAACTTACTGCCCAAAGCAGTGGCGCGCCTGCAATGTGCGGCCACGCTGCATATGAGCCCCTGCCTGCGACAGGAAGCGTCGCGCGGTTTGTACTTTATTAAATACAGTTATCTTCACATTAATTAATCCCCTGTTCATGCATCCAGGCAGTGGTCGAGGCGGCGCCCTACAACAGTCAAAGGGTGGCGCCGATGTCTCCACAAATGTACGGCCCATTGGTGAGAAGATCAAGGAGAACACAAAGACGGCCAGCTATACGGCGATAATTGTGGCAGGTCTGGGTGTGACCGGCATCATGTTTTATGCTATTTTCCGCGAGCTCTTCTCTAGTGAAAGTCCTAACAATATCTATGCCGATGCCCTGAAACGTGTGGTTGATGATCCACGTGTTCAGGATGCCATTGGAGCTCCCATCAAAGGCTTTGGCGAGACATCGCGACGCGGACGTCGTCAGCATGTGGCGCACTCGAGCTACGAGCGACAGGGAAAACCACATATGAGGATGCAGTTTTATGTTCAAGGACTAAGGAACCGTGCCACCGTGCAACTGGAATCGAGAAGGGTAAGATCTATTTATAACAATTAATTTATTTCTATTTATATGAAAATCCATCTTTTCCACAGTCTTGTACAGGTAAACTGGAATATCGTTATTTGTTTGTGCAATTGGATCATTATCCCCGAACCACTATCGTGCTGGAAGACAATCGCGCCCTTGATTCTATTCCCGAGCCAGAGACTACCCCTGCCACATCTTCTTCATCGTTTGGAAGTCTGGCCCTTTTGTCCAATAGTCAGGACAAATAGTTGATTATTCTTCACTGCACTTAAATTCTCTGTTTAGTTGTTGTATTTATTTTTTGACTGACAATGAAAATCCCATTGGAAAACCCCAGTTGTGGTATAGCAGTCCTCATTCGCCAATCGAGAAGTTGTCCATTTCCAGAATGGCGCCCGACTCGTGTCAGTAGAGCTTCTTCCACGGTATGATCTCCCAGGAGCGGATGATGTGGCGCCCAAAAAGAAAGTCCTTCACCTTGTTCACGATGTAGAATGAAATGCCAAAGAACGAGGCAAAGTACAGCCAGAACTGTCCGAGGCGCTCCCAAATGCTCAGATGATAGCGTCCTGGCACCTGCAGCACATCCAGCTCCAGCTCGATGCTGAGGCGATTCAGGCGTGGCGACGTTGGCCGGTAGTAGGTCTCCTCGATGGACAACTGGAAGTAGGCTGGATTTGCTTTTATCTGAGCCATCAGTGACTCTATTTTATACTGTGACATGTCCGCATAGCTGGCGTTCGTCTCCACATGGACGGGACGAAACTTGGTCTTGATGTCGCGCCCCGGAAAGGGGCAGGTGAACTCTACGTATTGCTTTAGCTGCAGCTCACCCTTGAGTTGGATGCGACCATTACGAAAGCGTCCTGACGGCGGCAACTGCAGCTGATAGGCCAGGACCGAAGGCGGCGACAGATCGCACTTGTGCTGCAGATGAGCGTCGAAGAAGAGCACCAGATCAAAGTGCATCAGGCGTGCTGGAACATCCTGTAGTTCCAGCTGGAAGTGTGCCCGATCCGTGACCGTATCATAGTCCACGTCCTCTGTCCAGTACTTGCTGGCGGAGCAGCTGTTAGTGTGGGGTCTCATTTGAGCATTGAAATAGCTGAAGCTGCTGCACGCGACCAACGATTCTGGCTCGCCATCCACTCCAGGCTCCGTGCTGCCCACGAATATGTACTGGTAGTTGTAAGCCACATTGGGCTGCTCGTACAGCACCCGAGACTCGGATATGCCCGAGTACGGGCTGAGCAGGGAGACCAGCAGAACGGGCAGCATCACCGACAGCGCGATGAAGGCCAGGACCAGTAGCGAGGCGAACGAGCACAGCGAATTCTTGTACACGATCGCCGTGTTGGTCGTATGGAGCGGAATGAATCTCATTTTGGATTACAACTTTTCACCCGTTTCGAATTTCTCTCTTTTCACTTGCTGCCTCACTTTGACACTTGTCATCTGCTTTGTTGTGTGCAATTATTGTTGTGTGTGTTGCTTCGTTGCCTTGGTGCCACACGTACACATATAATCGTAGTAGGCCTTCAACCGGGTTGATTCGTTATGAAACTGAAATGAAAGCGAAGGAAACTCTTTTTTTTTTTACAATTGCAGCGATATTTTGATGCTTTAAAGCTTTAAGCATGATAAACAAGTGAAACAAAACATAAACAATTTACGAAGATTTAAAATTCAGTTGAAACTGTATACGCGATACTTACATCTCTGATGGACAAGACGCCACCTGGCGACATTGTGATTTGACATTTTACATGCATTTTGTCTACACTTCTTGTTTTCCTGCAAACAAATCTTCTTGCTAAAAATAATATATATGGATACACGCGCGTTAAACTTCCACTTAGGACAATTGTGCACATTAATATTTTATTTTAATTATTGGTCTTTGGTTTTCTCACATGAAAGTCGCGTGTGACATGTATCTACATATATGATGTATATTTTACATTTACATGTCCTGTAGCGCTGACAAATGGTCTAAAAATTATTTGAAAATGCAAAAGATGGTCTAAAAATGTGAGGAATAAGTAAATATTTAAATTGGAAACTGGTTAACAGACTTTTAGCCTAAACAGTCTAAGAATTATTGAATCTTCTCCACCTGTTCTGATAAGCTATACAGCATTCGTTTTTGGTATCGTTCAACTTTAAACAATGGAAAACTGCTTCCGCATTAGGAAACCCCTTCGCTGTAAAAAAGACTGCAGAATCGCTCTATTAGCCATGGCCTTTTCAGACTCTGCGGAACCCTCCTCCAGCAGACTCCAGTCGAGGCTCAAGCTGATGCCTTGGTCCAGGGCACATCCGTTCCGGCTTTAAGCCGATGCTGAAAAAGTATTGATTGCACATAATTATAGGATTTCGATACGAGGCCGCCTTCGAGCTTCAGCTTTGAATAAAATGAAAAGTGAACCTGCAAAAAAGGAGCAAAAGGAATAAATAAAGAACGGTCGCATAACTTGACCAACATTTGCTCATAATTAAGACCGACAACTGGTTTCGAGCATTGCCCTTCCCTCGATGGTGCCCCGGAGTGCTTTCGTGTGCACCGCATAAAAATCGGAAGTTGCAGCTTTGCATTTAATGCGCTTATTTTAAAGAGTGTTGAAAGCGGAGCCCTCAAAAAAGACCATATAAAGACAAGTGCAGACGACCAAAAAGAGTGTTAAAGGCAAGAAACAAAATGGTTAAAAATATTACGAGAAAGTTAATGCAATGTTTGGCACAATTTTCCAAACATCGCATAGTGGAACTTTTTGGCGATTTTGTATAAAAAGAGTAAGAGAAATTTTTGATTTTCAGACCCACAATGAATGACCCACAAATTGATGCAAAATTAAGTAAAAATGCATGAAAATTATTGAAATTCACTTGTGATGAAGTGATGGTGTGCAGATCGAATGTGTTTTAGCCTCCTTCATCTTCATCTCCTGCTAGTCACCTTCGCTCTGGATGCTCAGGAACGTGGGGTGTATTGAGAGGTAGTTTATCTAAGAGAACTTTATATATTTCACGATCTTCAGAAAATGACTATCAGGGAGACTAGGCTTTCCTGAATCCATCCTCTCAATGATTCGAATCTATCTGTGATGCGTGATCCTGCAGAACGTTCCACTGGTTGTTTGTTCGGATGACCGGGGATCATCGTGTGTGTCTTTGGCTGGTGAGTTTCAGTACGGGTAATCAGTGAAACAGTTTGGGGAATAGTGGTTTTTCGGGTTTTTTCTTTGCTTTTCGGAGATTTTATTGATCATCAGCATCACTTCCAAATATTTAGGATATCTTTATATATAAAAATGGAGTGCAAAATGGATGGGCTTGTTTATTTTTTGTATTTTTTACAATTTGTATGATAAGGATATAAGACTTGCCACAATTATAAATCAATCTAGCCATTTATCTACCTCTAGTAATCTTTTGGGCTTTTACAATGATTTTCTTTAATAGATTTTTATAAAAAGACTGGATTCCTTTGAGATTTTCTCGCAGAACAGTGCTTCTAATGAAGTCCTTCCCCACCTACCACCAACGTCACTTGTCACCTTCGAAAGTTTCCAATGAAGTTCTGAAAATTTGATGGCTGTATTCCTCACTTCACCTGCGGCAGCGTGACATGACGGGGGGGAGGATGGGCAGAAGTTTTTCTGATTTGTTCTTTGACTTTTGTTGTGACATGTGCTTTTCTGTGAATATTAAAAACGTGTGGGTAAAAAGTGATGGGCATGCCGTGTCACAACTATGAAAATAATGTACGAGTTGGCAGCCGAACGATGAATAAATAAAATTATATATCCCGATTTGACAGGTACATACAGCTCTTTGACAGTTGGACAGAGTGGTACTGAAATTAGTTTGACTGATTCCGCCTGGCAGCAGGTCCCTCCATACATCCTCCGAGCATCCTTCGAGGCTTTAAGCAGCTTAAGGATGAAATCCGCGTATGAAGAACAGCTACCAACAAAAAAATCAATAATTTTTCTGCATTTTTCTCTTTTGCCATACGAACTTTTTGGCGTCTCCCGCACATTGCCACGCCATTTTACAGAAAAATAAAAAGAAAACGCGAAAGAAAAAGAAAAAGCGGAAAAGCCAAGATGGCGGGCAGACAGACGGAGAGAATACACACAGCCCCACGGACACACGGATACAGATACGGTTTTAGTTGGAATTCTGCTCACGGCCCCAGGACAATGCCAGCTCTGGGCCCATATATCCTTTTTCAACGAAATTTCAGCTTTCACTCGTTTCGCGTACGTGACCGTGTTGCCACCAAGGAGCTGTTGAAGTGGCAAATTCGCACAGCGCCACCAGAAGCAGGAGCAGGAGGAGTAATAGTAGGAGGAGGATAGGGAGGTGGAGGCTGGTGGCAGAGTAATGGCTGTAAGGGATGGAGACTGTTGGTTGGGGCCCGCGCGCCAGGTGGGATACGGGTGTGGGGGGGTGCTGGCAAAAAGTAGCAGTTTATTAGGCTCACCAAATTAACATAGGACTACTAATGACTGCCGCCAAGGCAAACTAACTGAGCGGCAGAGCGCCCACGTGTTGGAGTGGAAGGTGGTCCAGTTCGGGGCAGGAGCTAGTCACTCCTTGGGAAGGCTGTTAAGTTGGTTCCCAAAAAGGGTATATAGCATCTTTCTTATGGTATATACATATATATCTTACAATTATATCGATTTGATCAAAATCTACACTAAGGAAACACTACTTTGGGATCTAAAGCTGTGGAAAATACTTGATAAATTGTTCTTTATGTTGTTCGATGGCTACATTTATGTGAGATATAGTCATCCGACTTTGCACTGCCGTTTTTAAGGCGATTAAGATGATTACAAATCTCGTAAGTTCTAATGTCAAAGGCTTGTTTTTCGATAATTTATTGTTCAAATACTCTTGAGTAAATTCTCCGCCAACTTTTTAAGAAAATTATCCTCAATTATCCTGCTGTACTTAAGCACATGTTATTGCCATTTGATATATTCTACATGCTATCCTCTAGACCACATATTTCCATACAGTTTCCATCAACTGTCAATGGAAGTCCTGATTCCCAGTTAGCAACTAAAAAAATTTGCATAGGATTGATTTCAAGAAGATACTATGGTCCGCTACATTTTAGTGATATGGGACTGCCCTCAACAGATATTGTGTACCAATCCTTCAAACAACCAACCGATCAGATAGCTATTGTATTATTTCTTCTCATAAAATAACTCACCAAAAACCCAACGAGCATTCAACATTCCAAGCTGAAAAGTTGCTCAACGACAAATTATTACAACGCCTGCGCGGATTTACATTCTTTTCGGTGGGGACTTGGGCCGGGCCAACCCCTCTTTTATTGGATGCTGGAATAAAAAAGGGGAAATGTAACCGCTTTCCCTTAAGCTTTTTGTCTCTCCCTTAGCTCGACGTCCCAGAGGAAATCAAAGGGAAACACACAACGTATGGAGTCTGTGTTGAAGTTGCTCTAATATTTATACAGAGTTCATGTCTCTGTCTGGGTCTGCGGGTATATAGAGAGAAATTCCCCTTATAACACTCAAGTGGAAATGTGTGGCACACTCGAATATACTCGTACATACTCGTATGTAGGTACATCTGTATGTGGCATGTGGCATGTGGCATGGGTGGCACAGACAGTTGGTGGGTTCCTTGCCTTTCCTTTCCTTTCGTTTCGTTTCGTTTCCGTTGCTTGTCTTTCCTTTCCTGAACTATATTTGACAATCAAGCCGCAAGCATATGTTACCCGATAATTTGCCGAAAGTTTTAATGAAAGACATGGGACTCATTTTTCCTCAGCTTTCTCTTTCTCTCTCTATCTCTCTCTCGCTGTTTTGGTGTGCGTGAGTTAATGTTCTTTTGGTGCGTGTGTGTCGTTTTGTCGCCATTTTGTGTGTGTGTCCGTGTGGAAAAGCATATTTTGATGAGCTCGAGAAAAGTTACTGTCTTTCCCTCTGTCTCTGTCTCTACACTTGTGTGGGTTTTTCCTTCCTTTCGTTTTATGTTCAGAATTCTCATTTCATAAATGAAAATTGCCGAGTACTAGCTGCAGGCAACTGTAATCACGCCATATCTGTTGAAAGTTTACAACTTACTCACTCGAAAGGCTTTTCTATTGTAAGGGGATAATCCATTTTGATTTGAGAGTTTGACTATTCGAAATATTTTCTCCTAATACTCTATGGTTTTAAAATGTGGATAACAGAGACACAGAAACATTTTCGAACCCATGAGATATATATTTGGATCTCTAAACTTATTAATTTGTAGCCTGAAACATTTTTATAGCTATGGCTATATAACCAGCTCTAATAGTGTCTACTAACTTGATGATTCTAGTCCTTACATCTATATATGGGCATTTCCCAGGTGTTGGCTTGATAAAGGTTAAAAATATAATTTTTCTGGCATTTTTTTTAGATAGTTTAATATGTTAGAGAT